TAGTAGTGGGATTGTAAAACTTGAAGCCCCGAGAGCTTTCGGTGTATCCAACAAAGTAGCAGCTGACTGTTCTTGAGTCCAATTTTTGTTCATTTGGCCTATAAGACCTTGCCTCAGCTGGACAACCCTAAACATGTAAATGCCTAATACTGGGCTTCTTTCCAGTCCACAATTCATAGGGGTTTTTGGCCACTACTTTGCTTGGAACCCTGTTAAGGATATAAACTGCAGTCTTTAATGCTTCTCCCCAAAGTGATTCAGGCAAGGAAGAATGACTAATCATGCTTCTCACCATGTCTTTAAGAGTTATGTTTCGTCTCTCAGTAACACCATTCATCCTAGGTTTGCCTGGCATTGTGTATTGCGGGATAATTCCACATTCTTTTAGGAAGATAGCGAATAGTCCTAGACGTTGTTCACCTGATCCGTCATATCTGCCATAGTATTCGCGACCACGATATGATTTGACAGCCTTAATTTTCTTGCCTAGTTGAAGTTCAACTTCGACTTTAAATTCCTTGAAAACGTCCACTGACTGTGACTTCTCATGTATTAAGTATAGGTAACCATATCTTAAATAATAGTCTATGAACGTAATGAAGTATTGTTGACCATTCCATGAAGCCGTAGGGAATGGTCCACATATATCTGTATGAATAAGTTCTAAGACATCTGTAGCCCTGTCGGCACATAATTTCCTTGTGTTTGTATGTTTCCCCTTGATGCACTCAACGCAGACTTGAAAGTCTGCCAAATCTAGGGGACCAAGAATTCCATCACTCACAAGCCTCTGAATTCTCTGTTTAGAGATATGACCTAAACGCTACCATAGGGTGGCAGAATTCTCATTTAATTTTCACTTTGTACCTCGTGCACTAGTGTGCAAAATTTCATTATCAGAAGTAACAGTATCAAGCATATAAAGATTATTAATTAAGGAACCAGTACCAACAACATTTAAATTATGAGAAAGACTAACTTTATTATTTCCAAAGGAACAAGAATAACTGGATTTGTCCAAATTAGAAATAGAAATTAAATTCCATCTAAATGACGGTGCAAAAAAAGTCTTAATCAAATCTAAATAGACACAAGTCTTTAATAATAATCTAAATGTCCTGATAGTTTCAATTAGAACTTTCTTGCCATTGCCCACGAAGATGAATCTTTCAGCATCATTTGGCGGTTGGCTCCACAGGCAACCTTGCATAGACATACTTATGTGAGTAGTAGCACCAAAATCTACCCACCAAGTATCCTTAGGTACATAAGCTAAATTAACTTCAGAACAAACTAAAGCGAGAAGCTTACCATTCTTTACACGCCAAGCAGCGTATTTGGTACTTTTAGAGCATGGACTTTGTGGTATTTTCGCAGTCATCTTCTTCACATAGTACTTTCTGGTTTATCAGATTTTGTCTGTATATTTTTCCATTCTGATATGATTTCAACTAAATTTAAACGTTTAGAAATATGCACGAGTACTAATGATTTGAAAGATGCATAACAATGGCTAATGATTTGAAATATGACATTTAAAAAAAAAAAAAAAAAAGAGAGAGAGAGAGTTAATTTCAATGCAAACCAAAAGATCAGGAATAACCCTTTTTACATCATGGGATAATACTTCACATGGGAATTGCAAGAGTCCTTTCTCTGCAAGTTTCAAAACATTTCTTTCTTTACCTAAGTTTGACAATGTCACGCTACGGATCTATTATAGCACATGAGAGTTACCGACCTTTTTCTTATTTCTGTTCCTCTCTTGATGCTCTTTAGAACATTGGCATCCAAAAAGTACTGTAGTGATTTGATGATTTGCACAATTTTACAAGATCAAATTCAATCCAACAATTAACAGAAGTGGGCAAAAGTATGGAACTACCAAGTCCCATCATTGCCAAATCTCTGTGACTTCAACTTATGATCTTGGCAGTTACACTCACGCAATCTCCATATTTCAATTGGTGCCAATCTTCCGTATTCAAAGACAAAATTGAAAAAGAAAAGAAAAGAAAAAGTTCAAAGCATTTTTGATAAGCATGGAATAACATAGTAATTATGTTTTCCACGCAAGTATGTTTTCTACTTCTATAAATACCAACAAGCTCAAGAGCAAACGACACAAATTAGTTATTCAGTTAATTAAATCCTTTTGGAGTATGGGGCATTGTGGTGGAGTTGTCTTGGTAACTTTGGCCTTGTTCTGTTTCTTTGTTAGTGTCAAAGGAGAAGCTAATTTTGAGGATGACTTCTTGTTCTCCTTGGCTGCCAATCATGACTATAAAGATGCCCTTGGCAAAGGCATCTTGTTCTTCGAAGGACAACGCTCAGGGAAGCTGCCGTCAAGCCAACGAGTAACTTGGAGGGGCGATTCTGCGCTCTCTGATGGCAAGCCTGAGGGTGTATGCCATCTAATATATACCTTTGAACTTGCTTGTTTGAACAGTTTTTTTGCTTTTATAATTTTACACTTTAATTTGGACTCACGATTTGTGAATAAAGTTTCCACTAGGTTTTTGTTATATTTGAGTAATTGATCAAACTAGGCAGAATGATAATAGTAACATATCTCTGTGCTTATGTGTTCATGTTGATCATTTTGACAAATTTATGGACCTCAATATCAGAAGGAAAAGATCAAGATAAAGAAAGCATAGTTTAAACTTTCATGTGTAATTGTGGTATTAACTAAAAGGGAGTGAATTTTTTGGCAGGCGAATTTGGTGGGGGGATACTATGATGCAGGTGACAATGTCAAGTTTGTATGGCCAATGGCTTTTTCTGTGTGCTTGTTGAGCTGGGCTGCTGTTGAGTACCAGCAAGAGATATCTTCCGCCAATCAGTTAAAACATCTCCGCGACGCGATTCGCTGGGGAGCCGACTTCATACTTGAAGCTCACACTTCACCTACCACACTATACACCCAGGTCCTTATTTTTCTTAATCTCTTCTGGTATTAGTACGTTTTTGCACTGAAGGCTTTGTCCCCTTATAGACACTCATTTGTTTATAGAAACTGAATGGTCATGTTAATTGGGAAAACTCAAAATTTTGGCTAACCTATTTGGCATTTATTAGATTTTTCCATTTTGAATATCCCTTTCTATCTTGAGAAAGGAGAAGTACTTATTGGCATACTGGTACAAATTAAGTTGAGAAAGAAATGGTAAAACTTATTTTACAATCTAGTACAAATTAAGAAAGCAGAAGGCTACAAATGTTAAGAAGCTTTTTTTAATCACATTATTGCACAATCCTGCTTTAATGATAGGTAGGAGATGGAAATTCAGATCATCAATGTTGGGAGCGTCCCGAAGATATGGACACCTCGCGAGCACTCTTCAAAATCACTTCGAATTCTCCAGGAAGTGAAGCGGCGGCTGAGGCGGCTGCTGCTCTTGCAGCCGCGTCAATTGTGTTCAAAGGGGTTGATTCCAACTACTCCTCAAGGCTATTAAGAAACTCAGAATCAGTAAGATCATAACACTTAATTAGTTCCTCTACTCCCAACAGGCTCTAAAACAATTCTAAATCAAAATCTAAACCGAGAATTTCCTTCACAGCTGTTTGAATTTGCAGACAAATATAGAGGATCTTACCAAGGTTCTTGTCCATTCTACTGCTCATACTCTGGCTATCAGGTAAAACCTACACAAGTGAAGCCACTATAAACACTTGTTATTCACTATCATAAGTTCATTCTTCGCAGCTGTTTGATTTTGCAGACAAATATAGAGGATCTTACCAAGGTTCTTGTCCATTCTATTGCTCATACTCTGGCTATCAGGTAAAACCAACACAAGTGAAGCCACTATAAACACTTGTTATTCACTATCATAAGTTCATAACCTTATATGTTTGCTTAATTATCATAAAAGGATGAGTTGTTATGGGCTGCTAGTTGGTTATACAAGGCAAGTCGGAACAAAACGTACTTAAATTATGTTTCAAGCAACAAAGGGTGGAGCCAGGTGGTGTCTGAGTTCAGCTGGGACAACAAATTTGTTGGAGCTCAGACTTTACTAGCAAAGGTGTAGATATATACGCATATATATTTTGTAACAACTTTATCTCTTTGCTGTTAACAATACATAAAAGTGAGACACCATCACAGGAATTCTATGGAGGAAAGAAGGATTTAGAGAAGTACAAGAATGACATCGAGTCATTCATTTGCGCGGTGATGCCGGGAAGTAGCTCCGTGCAAATTAGGACAACCCCAGGTGCACATATAACAAACACAACAAGTGAATAACAATGAAAAAGTTGCCTTCATGGTTTTTTTTTTTTTTTCGGTCCTCTGCTTTTAAACTGAAAATATATTATTGTTATTGAAGGTGGGCTTTTGTATACCAGAGATAGCAGTAATTTGCAGTATGTCACGACCGTTACCATGGCGCTATTGATCCACTCCAAGACCATAAGTGCAGCTCAGAGTGGTGGAGTCCAATGTGGCTCAGCAAAATTCTCGGCCTCTCAAATCAGAGCTTTTGCAAAATCACAGGTTCTTCCATTTTCTCTTGTAGTTTATGTGAAAAAGGGAAAAGAAATTGGGTAGGTTACAAGAATAATAATCCTTATCCATAAATCTCAATAATATTAAAAATTAAAGAATATAAAACAAAAGAAATTAGAGAATAAAAAGAATTAACTGGTTCAATCTGCTTACATCCAAAAACTAGGAGAAAATAAAAGATTCATTAGTAAGACTGATGGGCATTTTCAATAGGTTGAATATAAATATAAATATTATGAATTGATTTCATGTAAATACAAATTATTATTAAAAGATGAACACAAATTACAACCAAGGGATCTAGTAAGTTACCGGAAGTCCGAACTATTAAATATGTTAAAATTGATAAATTTTCTAACTACAAACCACCGGTACTAGTGGCACATCGACGAAGAAGAACCTACCTTGATTTTTTTTACCTATCATAAATGGATTGACTCCCATTATATGTTGTGATGCTGAAATTATGCCTCTCATCGGTCTGCGAATAATGATTTAGATTGATATGATTTTGGACTCTTTAAATACTAGTTGACAAAAATATGAGTCAGATTTCTTTCCGTTCCACTTAACGACACAAATCTCATTTTATTTTAATTTTTTGATTTTGCAGGTTGATTACATACTAGGAAACAATCCAATGAAAACCTCTTACATGGTGGGATTTGGGAGCAAATACCCAACACAACTACACCACAGAGGTGCTTCAATTCCCTCAATTAGGGTTCACCCAACAAAAGTGGGTTGCAATGAAGGGCAAAATCTCTACTTCTCTTCAACCAAACCAAACCCAAACATTCACGTTGGAGCTCTCGTTGGTGGGCCCAATTCGAATGACCAATTCAACGATGTCAGATCAGATTACTCCCACTTGGAACCTACCTCCTATATCAATGCTGCTTTTGTGGGGTCGGTCGCCGCTTTCTTAGCCGAAAACAATGAAAACTATTTGCAACTTTCCCGAGTTAAAACTACAGCCGAACTTTATACGGCAAATATCTAGACATGAAATATATAATATTATTATTACCTGTTAGTAATGACCAAGATGTAGAATAAGTTTGGTCTTTGTAATTATCAAGGACTAACATAATTAATGACGTAAAACTAAGACATCTATTATACTACTCGTTTTAAGAGCAATTTTAGTTAGTACAACTCGTATTTATATACATTATTTACCGAATGAAAAAAAAAAAACCCATATTTATATACATTAGAGTACTTGTGTGGACCCTACATATATATTGTCACAAAGTGTTCCGATAATAAATTAAAAAAAATCTTTTTTTTTATTTTTATTTTTTGACATATTGCATGCAAGGGTTGCTTTTTTAGTTTCTTTTTTTTTTTTTCTTTTGTTATGAAAAAAAAGGGGTTTTCCCTTTTTTGTGGCTAAATAATTAAGCGACTTATAAAGTGTGGCTAGCTGGCCATGAAATATCCCTACCCCTTTCCTCGAATATATATAATTATATAAGTATACATACATATATATCCCTACCCCCACCTAAATGTTTTAAGATCTCACGAGAACGAGTTTATAGGGCACAATAGATTTGGCTTAGCTTTTTATGAGTCTACAAGAATATATAAATCCCAAATTCATCTTTGTTATACATGTATGCCTCACCAAATAGATGTTGTTTTTGAAGCAACTGCTTCCCTACTTTAGGATCTCCAAAATTACGATGAAATAAAAGCAAGGATCTACTTTAGGATCTCATTTATATACAACTCATATATATAAATGAGAAAATTTATGAACACACACTTTATTACTCTAAAATTTTTACCATTTATTCTTGATTAATACCTGTTAAAATTTTATTAGTTGGCATGTTTTGGAATTGGGTTGTACAAAATTCAAAAACAGGATCAAGTTCATGATTAATGTAGATTCAGATTTTGAGGTGATATTGGTTGCTAATTGCTCCGAATTTAAAATGATTTTGTTGATGGAAATCAATATTTGGAAGGTGTTGTACAAGGATTCAGACTTGAATATGGAAATAAGGTGCTGCAAGGATTCAGACTTGAATATGAGAATAATTTGAATCTTTTAATTAGTGGTTGATTTGACTTTCAAATAGAATGAATGTGATAATTTTATCACATGGAGAGCAACAATGCTAAAGAGACGGCACTATCTCTTTTAGCACCAAAATCGGTTGTGGTTGGTGTTGTGAAGATCATTATGGGTTTAACATGAGTGGTTATGCAGAGTGGATAGTGGTTGTTATATATATTGCATGTGTGTACGTGAAGTTGTGTGCCTTGGGAGGATGATACATTATTTTTTTATGTCTTTGAGTTTCTAGAAATTGAAGGTGACATTTGGGGCATGGATTTTATAGAAGAAATATTCAGAAAAAGTCTATGTGAGTGTGAGCCTTTATGTGTTGATTGGAGATCATCTTTCGGGAGAAAGATTAGAAGCTTTTGGGAGAAAGCGCACTGCCAACCGAAGAGATTTCACCGTGTAGTTTAAAGATGAGTGGTGCTCGCTGGACAAGGCCATTAAGGAGATTCGACACAGCGGCGACAACATCAAGGAGGGAGTCTTTGGGTGTATAAGTCCGATTGGTGTTTGTAATTATTTGATCTCAATGGATTGTTCATTGTCTGGGTGTGGCCCCGTAGAGTAGGTGTGCGCACCGAACTGCGATACTATTTTTGTGTGTTCTTTATGTTTTCTGTTATTTTATTGCACTCAAAATCACTGGAACTAAATTAAAAGAAAAACAGATTTGTATGCACTTTTACTGTTGTCAGTGTTACAACAAGTGTTGCATCACTCTTTGTGACACTGACCGGAAAACGGACCTAACAATACCATTTTGTCTAATATAGCTCATTGATTAAAGGGTATTAATTAAGAGTAAGAGGTGAAAATTTAAGACCTAGATATTTTAAGAGTATTTGTATTTTTTTCTCCATGTAAATCCTTTCAATTAATTGGGCCACCCATGACTTAGTACTAGCCAGTGCTGAAACTTTGGACGGGTCGTCCGTGACCACCGAAAAGTCTGAATTTTTGCCCGATGGCCGAACCCGATTTGCCCGAAAATTTAGGCTGCCCGACCCGACCCGAAAATTCCCATGGACGGGCTTCGGGCAAAGGAAGCCTGCCCGTGCCCGGTCGGGCTGCCCGATGCCCGACCGGCTGCCCGGAAATTTTTTTTTTTTTATATTATATTTTTATGTTGTTGAAATAAGTATTTGTATAATTACAATGTGTAATTGTGTATATTACAATTTAAAATATGAAATGAACACACGACACGAACGAACTATATAAAAAAAAATTACTTCTTCATTGATTTTTAAATTTGTAATTCATGATTGCCTCATTAAAAACCTTACCAAGAAAAACCCAATTGGGATAAAAACTTGGTAAGGAAAAAAGAGTGCAATCATTGTGGGACGAATTACAAATTTGATGAACTTACAAAGTCTATACAAGATTACAAATTACAATAAACACTATACAAATTAGAAATTACAAAGTAAATAAATATTTACAAAGAAATTATCAAAATGAAGCAGAAGGATCATCTTGAAAATTAAAAGTTAATCTATTAAATTCGTCGATCCATTCTTGGTTTGCCGGTGAGATTGTATCGTGTAAGCGTTGGTCAGAACGGTCCCAATCCTTTATGCACACCAAAGCTTCAATAATATCCTGCTGCAATGCGTTTCTCCGTTCTTCAAGTATTCGGCCGGTTGTACTGAATGCTTGTTCGGCTACAACGGTGGAGACCGGGATTGAAAAAATATCCATTGCCAGTCGTGTTAGGATCGGCCAAGTTAATGCTCATGCCCTCCACCACTCAACTAAATCAAACACCTCATTACTGTCTACAACTAAGTCCTCACTCAGGTACGCCATTAACTCGTTGAATCCGCCGCCACCTCTTGATGAAGATCCACTTCCACTCCCAGATTCTTCTTGACCTTGACTCGTCATCGTCGTCTTCTTCTTCTTCTTCTTAGACAACCTGTGACACCCCTTATATACCATCTCCTTCAAACGTTTTAGTTCCTTGCCAACAATCCTAAGTACGTGCCACAATCACTAATCTTCACCTGTCACTTATGTTTAAACAACCCGAAAACATTCAAGAATGAATGCGGATTGTCGTCTCGTTGTTGCGGTTGTTCAACACGAGGTGTGTTTCTAAACCTACTTTCATAAGAGATATATAGAGAATATATTTTTTCCTTTATAATAGGAAATTGGTAAGTAGTGTCTATAGCTAAAAATTCACCTAAGTTATCTAATCCACTTTCTAAACCTTCTAATTTTAATATAGGGTCAAAAATAACACCGGAACCATACAACATGGGTAATTTAGACCAATATTTTTTAAATTTCTTTTCCATAGAGGCGATAGGAACTCTTAAAACCTCATGTGTCCTAAATTCACTAAATAAAATAGACATTCTTAAAAGTTCTCCTAATGCTAATGGTGAAGTTGGGTAATAAGTTCCACTAAGCTTTAAGGTAACTTCATGAAATCTACCTAAAAAGTTATACAAAAGTTCGGCAATTTGCCAATCAGTTTCATCTATAAATCCTGTTCCTAATTTTGCACTAACATAATTTGTTATAGCATCTTTATAGGGGATGCATTGTTCAAGCATTATGTAAGTGGAGTTCCATCTTATGGGCATATCTAAGGCTAATGCTCTAGGATTTTGATTACATGCTTGTAGAAATCTAAACCAATCTTGTATTCTTTGATTACTACCTTGAATCCAAGCAATGTTATCTCTAATTCTTTTAATATGACCTGATATTGATTTTAAACCGGACTTTACTATTAAATTAATTATATGACATGCACAACGTTGGTGGAAAATATCATTATTACTAAATAAACTTAAATCATTTTCAAAAAGTTCTATTACTTTAGTATTCGCAGTTGCATTATCTAATGTTATGGCCATTATTCTATCTCTTAAACTATATTCATCAATAACAGATAAAATTGTGTTATATATTAAATTGGCAGTATGTGATCCTATAACACATTTGAAACCTAAGATTCTCTTATCCAAATCAAAACCTTTATAATAATGTCTGGTTACAGCTAAATAATCCTTGTTGGCAACGGCGGACCAAATATACGCCGTTAACGCAACGCAACCACTAGTAGAATGTAGAAGGTTGATTAATGCTTCTTTTTCTTGTTTATATAATTTTAATGCATCTTTCCTAAGAGTAGTTCTAGAAAAAAATTGTGCATTAGGATTATGTACAATTTTAATATAACATCGCCAATTTCTTTGTTTAGAAAAACTTAGTGGTGATCTAATGTGGCTATTAATCGTGCCATTTCCATACGATCAACTTGCGGATCGTATTTCCACGTGCTTAGACCGCCGGTTTGGCGGTCAAACGATAATTGTGTTTGGCGGAGTTGATCTCCGCCTCCTTGCTTTTGAAGACACTTTTCAAAGTGCATTCTTAAGTGTGTAGTGCCGTGAATAGTGTTACCTTGTAATTTCTCACCAGAATATTTACATTGAGCTACGTATTTATTGTTACCGTTATTGTCGACGTCCTCGAATGTGTTGAAGTGCTCTCAAACTGCTGAGGTGCGCTTGCATTTCTTCTTAGAACTTGCAACACTTGCACTAGCACTACCGCTTGCCTCTCCTCCACGGCCACTTGTGCCACCACCATTGTGTCCCCGACCTCTAGTACGTCCACCAGGGGATTTGCAGTTTGATCAGCACCTCTTTCCATAGTTTGCGATTCCTGCGATTGAAAAACATTAGGAAATTGCCCTTCTTCGATGTTGAATTGGGCATCAATAGGAATATCACCACCACCACCATAACCAGAAGAAGCCATTATGAAAAATAAGAGAGATTGAGAGCGCTTTGAGAGAGCTTAAGAGAGATCGAGATTCGAGAGAGATTTAAGCGAGATTAAGAGAGATTTGAGAGAGATTAAGAGAAATTGAGAGAGATTAAGAGAAATTGAGAGAGAATGAGAGTTTTGGGGTGAGGAAAATGGTTGGGGGGAGGGGGGTATTTATAGGAAAATTTTTGGGTTGAAAAAAAAAATTTTTCCCCCAAAAATTCGGGTCCAACGGCTACAAAATTTTCGGGCAGGTCGGGCAAAATTCGGGCAACGGATAAAAATCCGACCGTTTGGTTCAAAATTTAAGGCAAAATTCGGGTTCGGGTTCAGGTTCGGGCAAAAGACCGTTTTTTTCAAAATTCGGGCATTTTCGGGCACAGGGCAAAATTCGGGCAACGGTCACAAAAAATTCGGGTAATTCGGGCAGTTCGGGCAGCTTTGAGTATTTGCCGGAAAATTCAAAAAAAATCTGGCGAACGGCAGGGGAAGGCTTCTCCACGGCGGCGGGCTGTCGGGGGCTTACCATTTTCGGGTTACCCGAGCCCGTGCCCGAAGAAAATCATTTTCGGGCGGTGAGAGGGGCCTGCCCGCCGTGCCCGAAAATTTTCGGGCATCGGGCATGCCCGCCGCCCGAAAGTCCAACACTAGTACTAGCTAGCCTTATAAGCTAAAAACAAATTTTTTTTTTTTTTGTTGCTAAATGAGCTAAAAACAAGCTCAATAATGTAATTTGAAGCCAAGAGAGAGCATACATACATGGATGAGACTACCTCTATAATTTCCAAATTATTAGACCCTATCCAAATTAAATATAATAATCGTCGTTTTCACTTTCAGTTATGGGATGTTGGGTGCCGCAGCCAGTGGTTGACAAAATAAGAAACTCTCTGAATATAAATAAAAGAAAAACCCAAGAATTGATGGTATATAATTGCGTCAATTATTTATAAATATCAATGAAAGGTGATGTTATGGCATCCATCTTAATACATGTATACTAATTAATCGTACAATAATGAGACTAGTTGATGTCAATAATGTCTCTTGCAACTAATATTTAGAAAAAATATCTATAATTGTACTTTTACCCTTAAATTACTTTGTAATTAGTCAGTGTAAACAGTCACGTTCATATTGTTGATAGATTTTGTTAGTGAATGAATATTTCTCCAAACAAACAATGTGTAGTTTAAGAAATAATAGAAATATGTCTTTCAAATTTAGTAATTCCAAAAAAAACAAAAAACAAAAGAAAAAAAACCTCCTTGCGCACATAAAGGTCTTTTTAATCCTTTTTTTTAAAAAATAATTCAAGCATCCTTTTTTTCCCACTTCTAAAAATCATTTCTATGGAACTAATAACATTACAAGCGCCACAGGTTTTGTTTGGTAAATTAAAGAGAGAGAAAATAGAAACTAAGAAAGAAATATCTTCTCTTAATACATACTTGGTATTGATTCTCTTTTCTAATCTCTTCATATTTAGAGAGATTAAAATCGAGATTTTTAGAGAGATTCGAAGAACCTGATCACTTAATTTCCATTCCTCATAATCTTTTTTCCTCTAATAAAGAACCACAAGTTCCAAAATTCTTCCACTAATTCCCACCCGCCCGCCCACCAATCAACAAACAAGCTCTAAAGGTTCTCAGGAGAAAAGAAAAGTGTGAGAACTAAAGTGCACAGAACATGTGTAGTTTAGTCATATTTCTACCCTACATGCACCCATTTTTTCCGGTTTCTGAATCTGCAAAACTAACAGTATTACATATCAAAATCTAGACCATGATGCGAAAAACCAAAGTGTAACGAAAAGCTAGCAATAATGAGTTGCTTACAATCCACTTTTTTAACTAAAATATGAAAGAATAAATATCTGCGCCTTTCCTATTTTCTCTAAAAAGAATTTGCTCTTTCCATCTTGAAGTTTGCAATTTTAATAAGTGATGATCAACCAAACTTTTCACCTGTAGATAAGTTTTTTATGATGAATGATATCTCTTATGAAAATATATATATATATATATATATTAACTTCAAAGTAAACAATTATTTACAATTACTAGTCAAAATTTGTAGTCTTCAATATCTGGAAAGACATAAAATAAAGTTTAAGATACACCAGCAGTAAGAATATTATATTGCTAAGCCTTTCAAAAAAAAAAAAATTATATTGCCAAGAAAAAAACGAGTTCTAAGATAGAAAACATTCTTGTTTGATGAAATTGAAAACTTCCAAAATATTCTTTACTTCTTTCTTGCTTTGATACAGTCATAATCTTTACATACAACGCGCTTACATCTTTTTTCCCGGTTTCTAAAACCCCATTTCTAAAAAACTAACTCTATTTATTTGCAATTCAAAGTTTGCAAAAAAACAAAAAAAAAAAACTAAGATGTATATGACTAAATTATAAATTGGACGTTTGATTCATATATTCAGAATCGTGATTCAGAATCATTCTCATTTTACGTATGTTTTTTATGAGAAAAAATACTGTAGAGAATCATGAATCATGATTCAGAATCAAATACGAATATAAGAAACAAACATCCAAACATGATTCTCTACTCTGGTCTCTTGATGAGTAGTGTGTCAGCAAGCTCCTGCTAAGGTTGTGGAGTAATGATCAACGAACCAATTAGCATCAATAAAGTGATCATGATCATCGGCAAAACCATCAAGAAACCCACCATCCAGTTCCTCTAAGCCCCTTTCCAAATCCTCTAAGCTCGGAAACATCTGATCATGCCCTAACATCACATGATTTGGCTTTGGCATGACATTAATTGTTTCACTGCTACATTCTCCATGATCCAGTACTACTTCCTCATTTTCCCTTTTAGTACTGCTCTCGTTTTGCACCAACTCATGATCCTTTTGATCAACAATATCCAGATCATCAGAAGTACTGGATTTATGATCAATATCCAATTGACGGAAGGCCATTTTCGATGCCGGAAACTTGCTTCGTGTACTGCCCGCGAGCGAGTTCCGGCGCGTCGGGTGCGTGTGGCTGTGCTCGGCGGTATAAGTTATGACGAAGATTTCTGGATTGGAAGGGCTCCTCTCGACCTGTTTCCTTGCCGAACATCCTTTGGAGCTACTGCACCTGTAGTAGCTCCTCGGATATGGCGATCCCTTGATCGGCTTCTGCCCGTATTTTCGCCATGCCCACATGTCCGCGCAAAGCCCATCTTCTTTCACCTGTTTTACCACCTTCTTCTGCTGATTTTTCCTGCTCAATATCAACATAGAACAATTATTCAGAATTACTGTAACACCCAAAATCCCACATCGAAAATACACGGATGATCCGTTCATAATCTTCAAAATATACTGAAACTATGTTCACAAGTATCAAACGTAAACTATATATTATTAAAGCAAAAATTAAAGACTAACCTCTTTTTGTATTTACTGGCGGCTTCTTTCACCTTTTTTATCTTCTGTGGTACGTTAATCTCGGCTTGTTGAGGCAGAGATATGCAGGAGGCGAGTGGTGTGGACGGGGAGGAAAAAGGAGAATGCAAAACTGGGTAAAAGGGCTTGTAGAGATCTTCCAGTTCGTCGAAAGCCGTAGTCGTTTCGAAGAGATGAGGGTAAGCGCAGAAAAGATCGTCGTTTTCTTGAACGCTCCGAGGAACAAAGCAAGACGTTGCGGATTCTCTGATGTTAGTAGACATGAATGATTCCATGTTGTTGTTGCTGTTTCCTCTTACTACATCTATCAAATCCCAACCCTGATGATCCATTTATATATGGAAATATGAGAGAGAAATGAAGGTGGCCTAATTATGATAGGAAAAAGGAGGATATGTTATGTCATAGCAAATTTGAAGCAAGACTTGGTCTTATATATACACATAGAAAGAAGGTTTATGAGAGATTTGAAGTTCCATCTTTATTCAAAAGAATCAAATCAAAAACCCCATTTGCATTTACAATATAGAGTTGACTTTGTTAAAGTCAAATGGTGTAACAAGGGGAAAAAAAAAAAAAGACTTAGTGCAGTCGCGCGTATTTGATACTCGCTTGTATCCACTTGGCTTTTCAGCCTCTACACCAGTGGCTGCGCGAGTACACCTTTTATGGCTACGAATACGAGTATCTTTAAGCTAAGCCAAGGTAAGGACCGATAATTTGGAAGTTTTCGGATTGAATCTCCACGCCATTTACTTTTTCTTTTTTCGTCTCTGTGTCGGCTTAGCCGCGTGATTTTGTTAAACTCGTCTCCATCATTTTTGGTCAAATTACTCAAACATTACGAGGATGTTCTAGATTTTATAAACTACTTAACTTTGTAATTGCCTAAGTGTGCCAGAGTTTAATCTAAAGTTTGTAATTAACAGTATCATAGGCTGATCATGCTTATATATTGCTGAGCTCATAACCCACGAGCAAACCACAAGATGACGGTTAACCATTTAATTGGAATGTTCAAATTGTTAATCAATTATGGAAACCAAATTAATAATGTGACAGTTGTCAATATCTAATTAAATAAATAAAAGGTGCATGACAACTTCTGTCATATCATTTAGTAAACAATTTGATGTCCGTAACATCAATCTGAATCCTTCTTTGGGTTTGAAATATTAGACATCAAAGGGGTATGATAATAAAATCTAAAAGATATTGCCGTGGTCATTAGCTCAAACTTTATTAGATGAAGGCCTTACAGTTTAAGTCACAATTTAAATTTTATTGTTATAATTTTTTTATAAAAATTTAAATTTTATTTTTTTATTACAGTATTTTTCTCATACATATACAACTCAAGTTAAGTTGTGACTGAGTTGTGAAATGAACACACATAAAATGAAATGAGACTATTTAAGAGGGTACACTTCGATACCACATTATATATATATATATATATAAAGAATTTATAGATAAACCTTTTTGGTTCACAAAATATTTCACCACGTTATCTAATACCAAAAAGAGGCCAAAAAATTAAGGGTGGCAATTTGTGTTAATGGGTCGTATTCGTGTCAACCCGTTTATTAATTGAGTCAAAAAATATTAACTCAAACACGACATATTTATTAAACGTGTCAAAAATGTCAACCTAAACACGACGCATTTATTAATCGTGTTAATTGTATTAACTCGTATAACTCGTTTAAATTAACATATTAAATAAATAACTAATATAATAATGACTTATTTAATACGATCAAGACAGATTTAACATATTTATTAATTTATTTATTTTTTTCTTAAGAAAATAAATGAATTTTACTTACAAATATTAAAATTCACATTATTTGTATTTAATATGTCATATAAACTTTTATGTTATATCACATATCATTAAATTACAGATGACACATATAGTTAATCGTGTCAATTCGTATTAGGAGGTCAATCCTAACTTAACTCATTTATTAATCATGTTAATCGTGTCAACCTGATTATGATCTAAATTATTTATAATAAACCTAAACCCGTTAACTTTATACGAATTTTAAATCGTGTCATCGTATCGTTATTCGGATTACTAGAGAAACTTTGGGCATGTCATATTGAGCTGTGATGTGATTATGTTATGAAATCATGACCAATACTTGTCACATTATATATAGTGACTCTAGGATATGCAGAGAATAAAACTTTGATTGATTGGTCCACCTTATTCCCCACCCTCAGGTAATAGCCTAATAGGATATAGCTAATCTATATATAGACCCTCTTTAACAACAAAAATGGTGTCTTTTTTATTTTTTATTTTTTATTTATTATATAGGGACTCCCACTTTCCTCTTTTTAACAGTATCATTGAACTTTTCTTTTAAAAAACAAACAATTCAACCATGCGTAGTTTGAGTTGGAGAAACCGACAAAGATACAGCATATTGAACTATACAACTTGCATTCAGAAAATCTGTTCACTTACGAAACTATCAAAATTTCTTTTTCTCTCCCGTTGTTATCATGGAGAGCCAGTTTTTTCAAATCCGAGTGATCTTATACACCGAATGAACTCAAAGACACAGCAAATACAAGAAATCCCATAGTCAAAAGCAAGAAAAGTTCAGTCATTTGTACTTCTTTTACAACTTGCATGCTATGTTCTAAGCTCTTTCCTATCGGTGGTTTCGGCCTCGGACGTTTAGTTGGTGAATTCGTGTCATGATTCGAATTATGGTTCATAATTCGTTACAGTATGTTCTCTCACAAAAAAATATACGTAAATCGAAAATAATTCTAAATTTATAAACTAAACGTTCACGGTAATACCGTCTATAATAAGATGGGTTCACTTTGTTTAAAAGGCCCCTTTTTCTACTTTTCATATATGTCTATTTTTTTTATCAATTTTGCTATTACTGAATTATATATCCACCCATAAAATTACTTTTAAGAGCAAAAGTGTTTTAAAACATACTTTTCACACACCTCACTTTAAATAATTGAGAAAAATTAATACACCCTTTTAAATATAATATCTATTAAACACTCAACGCTAATTACTAATGATCAGAGAAAGAATTATAGACCGGCTTCTAATGAAAACGAAACTGCAAGTATATGTATGATATAATATCTGTTAAACACTCAACTCTAATTACTCATGTATTTTTTTTTTTTTTGTATATTTATTTTATCGAAAATAATTCTATATTGAAATGGCGAAAACGGAAATTTAAAGAAAACGATTCCATTATTCTGAAGTCTATGTAATATTATCGACTATCATCCTTGATGTTTGGCCTCTGTGTACGGAAAAATTAAGAGTTCGTTTAGTTGGAGGATTCGTTCTCTAATTTGAATCATGTTTCATGGTTCGTTACAGCATTTTCTCTCATAAAAAACACACATAAATCGAAAATGATTCTAATCCATAAATCAAACGAGCTCTAAACCTCCATTTATTTATTTTTTTAAGGAGAAATCAGTGAGATGCGTGCGTTTTTCTTTTTATAAACTTCTTATTCATAATAATAAATTACTACGACGATTTAAAGTTAACATAACTTTCAAATTAAAAGTAAATTGCTATAAATTTTGTGTGTTCTTTATTTTATTTCTTTCTGCAATATAAAATTAGCACCATTGGTAATGCCTAGATATAAGTCTATTCATCTTGACTATCAGACGGCCCCATTCATTTCACCGATTCGAGTTTAGAATTCGAGTTTTATTACAGTAAAAAGCTCTCAGAAACAGTCACATCTAACTTTTTAGTCACATCTAACTTTTTTGCTACAGTAAAAAGCTCTCACACAAAATCACATCTCAACTCGAATTACAAACTCGAATCAGCGAAGTGAACGGGCAAATTTGTGGAATTCTTAATCCCGATTCAAATTTGTAATCTGTGAAAGTTATCAATCTTGTGGATTTCTTAATATCAATATTATAAGATTGCTGACTCGCCATTGTTAATGTTTTGATAATTAAGGTTGAGATGTGGTTTTCCTTGCTCCCTTTCCTGGGCAAACTGATGACGAGAGAGTGATGTTATAGGAAGAATAAATTACTAAAAAAATTAGCATAATTGTTACGTGAAATGAAGGGAAGTTAAAAAGAACCTTTTGGGACCACATTATGGCCAACTCTCCAATATAATATAGGTTCATAGGTTTAGATACTGTACCACGCGGAATTGGCATGGATTTAATTTAGCTAGCAAGTTTTGAACGAGTCAATTGGTTATAATAATAATATATTATTTTAACATATTAGGCTAGTAGTATATATAGATCCTATCTAGTTATCTATATAGGATTGTAAACAAAAGTTGCGATTTTATTATTCTATTTGACTAAGATTAATAACTATTGAAGCAAGATTTTTTTTTTTTCCTCTCTTTGAATAGAGTTTCTTCGTTCAAATGAAAGATTATATTTATAGGGTACACTAAGTATGTGCAATGTCAAAACTTTTCTTTTTCTTTGCAAAATTCAAGAGAGTGGCTAACACTTGATTGGAGAAGAAATTAGGGAAACAAAAATCAGACTTCCAAATTGATGAAGAGAAATGCTATAGCATCACTCATTTTACTGTACGTTCTCTGCATCTACTGTTTGACGCTTGAATTTTACTAATATAAAGTATTATTTTTTAAATAAAAAATGAAATAATAAAGCCTATGTATAAAATATTGAATGTAAAAAGTGTAAAGCATTTCTGATTGATGAATTATGCTTCCAAATTTTTTGTTCAAATTATTTAGAATTGATCCCGTTTTTATTTTTCACTTTTTCGAGAAAGAAAAAATAAAAACGTTTCTAAAACGGCGTTTGGCGCACTAAAGGCAAAAAAAGGGAAATGAAAACGATTTTTTAGTTTAGTGTAAAATGAGAGATAAATAAAAAATGACTTTTAGTCGTTTTTTATTTTTTGTTTTTGTTTTCTCCTCTCTTGAGCAGAGAGAGAGACATTAATGAGTTTTTTATAGTGAAAATAATCTCTTGAGAAAACTACCAAACACATTTTTAAAAATGATTTCTATCTAAGATTGAAAATGTTTTCATTTTTATTTGTATACAAAAAATAAAATCATTTTAAAACGAGTTTTAAATGCGTCTATTATCTTAAAGAGATTGTCCACGAAATAAACGACAGGTGTTTGCATGCCGTTTTTCAAAGATAAACTTCTGGAGATGGTTTTCATGACGCCATTGGTCATTCTAAATAACCGAAATCACTTCCAAACTTTCCTCTGGAACAACAATCTAAATATTTATCCGTTTATTCTTGAAATTTTATCTAATTCGACATTGGACTATGGAGCTCCATCAAATGAAATTGATCTAGGTTAGGCAAGCAAAGTGGATTTAGATTACATGTTTAATTGTTGATGTTTCAAATAATGTCTAACTAACCACGTTATTTAATAAACTCAAACAATAAAGTATGAAAAAATTAATTAAAAAATATTTTAAATTTTTAAATGACGTGATATAATGTGATTGGTTAAACATGATTTGGGAGACTAAAATTGGACATAAAATACAAGTCCTAGCAAAACGTTAACTTTCTCTGAAAAAGTTTATAACGTGGATAACTATAAAAATTTGATTAATGTTTCAATTTAGTCTTTTTTCGATCAATGACCTGTGCTGCGTTGGACATACGGTGGTGTGAATGAAAGTGATCTCATCCTTTGCGTAAAACTGCGTCGTTTTTGTTCTATCAGTGAGGTCTTGGACTTTTGTTATAGAAAAATGAAATTAGAGACGAGATGACACTTATTTTTACGCAAAAAAAAAAAAAAAAAAGTTTCGAGATCAATTTTGCCTTGCACACACACATCCTCGCGCGCACTAGATGCACGTGCACCAAACATTCCTGAGAGAAAATTTCGGGCCTTAAGCTCAAAGCGGCTCATAATGGGCTAGCCCATAACGCCGACATAAGCCCAAATGACTGAAATAATATCCAACCGACGTCGCACAGCCACCAACCGAGTAAAGCCCGTTTAAAAAACGCGGCGGTTTCGTTCGCGCGCAGAATTGAGAAACAGAGAAGAAATGGAAGATCCGCTGATATCCTCGATGCGTTTCTTCTCCGATCAACAACTCTGCTACGCCGATATTCTCTCTCCTTCCGAGGCTCGTAATCTTTCTCGCATCTCATGATCATCATTATCATCATCGTCGTCGTCATCATGATTTCGCCATTGTTGTGACCGTACAGGTTCTACCGAGAATCGAAGTCGCCGTGCTCAATTTCCTCAGGATCTTGACTTCTCCTTCTCCGGCAATATCAGATCTTCCTTTGGTACTAATCGAATCTCCAAAACTTTCCGATCTTATCTTGAAATTTTCGTTCTTTTTGTGTATTTCTAATTTCTCTTCGGCAAATTTTCTAGATCGCTAGAAATTCGAGAAATGGCTATGTTAGTCGAGGAATTTTGACCGAAGTTTCTTGGATTTTCCTCTCTCGCTCTTTTTGCACTAGATCTCTGATGCGAGCCAACGCTGCTAAAGCCTTTATTAGAGGTTGTTATGTTCATCGGTTTCGTTTGCGTTTAGGAGTTTCTATAATGCCAGAAAAGGAATTTTCTTCGTTCTTTTTTGTTTGTTGGAAATTGCAGTGTGGAAGGTGATGGAGATGTCGTATAAGATCTTATCTCAAGAGAAGAGAGTCACACAGAGGGAGCTCTTCTACAAGTTGATCTGCGATTCCCCCGATTACTTCTCATCTCAGCTGGAAGTCAATAGGACTATCCAAGGTCCTTTTTTCCCCTATGAATGTTTCTATTAGCATTTCAAAAATGTAATCCTTATTACATTGTAATAGTAGAATAATTTTTTTGGTCCAGATGTCGTCGCGTTGCTTCGGTGCAGCCGGTACAGTCTTGGAATCATGGCGTCCAGCAGAGGGCTTGTTGCTGGCCGTCTGTTGCTGCAAGTGCTCTCTCTCTCTCTCTCTCTCTCTCTCTCTCTCTCTCTCTTAATCTGATCAAGATGAGTATGATTCGCTGTAGTTTGAGAATGATCCGATGAATTATTGGGTCATTGGACTGGCAGTTCTTGGAGTTTCAGCATTCGATATTAAGAGTTTTTGAATTGTTGAAAACTCGCTAAATAGTTCACTCTTTTCATTTGTGAAGAGATTTTTGCATAGAAATGAAATTCGGCATACTTGTTCTTGCTTTTGTATTTGAACAAGATAACTCATGCAGTGCCCGTTCTCTGTTTACTCCGAATCATGTGGCAGGAGCCAAATCAAGAGGTTGTCGATTGTTCTGTCTGTGGATCTTCTGGGCATGCTATCTCTGGTGACTTGAATCTTTTGGATAAATTGATACTGAAGACAGACGCACGGTACATCATTGTGGTGGAAAAGGTATTCGTTAATTTGTATATTAGATCAATCCTTTTCCATTTCTTACTCCTCAAAATCCCTGGCCTATTCTTTTCTGAGTACTCGGGACACGTTTAGCATGCAATATTCCAGCGGCTGACAGAGGATGGTTTCTTTAACCAAGTTCCAAGCATTCTCATCACAGCCAAAGGCTATCCAGATATTGCCACAAGGTAAACTTCTGAACAGGTCGCCTCGGAGTTTTAGAGCCTGAAAGTTTAAAGCGTTAAGAGTTTACGTATGCAAATTTAATCTTCTGCTAAATATGCCCACAAGCTAAACTTGGTGATCATTGATCAATGTAGGTTGCTTCTTCATCGAATGAGCCGGGCTTTTCCCGAATTGCCGATTCTTGCATTGGTTGACTGGTATGAACAACTCCTTTCCCTCGTGACTGAACCAGTTACTTTGGTAGTGTTTACCTCTGAGTTTCCAAAGACAAATAAATAAATAATAGGAACCCAGCTGGATTAGCTATTTTATGCACCTTCAAATATGGAAGTTTAGGGATGGGCCTGGAGGCTTACGGATACGGTTAACTTTCTTGTCTCATAATTCCTTTTTCATTTTATGTTATTGGTCTCGTCAAATCATTCAACCTAGTATCCTACAATAAAGCTTACCGATACATGACCTTCTTTTATTTTGCTAGCTTGCAATGTGAAGTGGTTGGGACTTCGGAGAGATGATCTACAATTCATACTTGAAGAATCTCTAGTTCCATTGAAACCGAAGGACCTGCAAATTGCTAAAAGCTTGATGTCATCGGAAATCTTACCGGTAATGACTCAAAAGTCAAAACCCTTTGAATGGTTGGAGAAAGAATGATATATTCTGTTTCAACAAATTGAAATAATTTAACTCTCACAACTTGTGTTACAGGAGAATTACAAAGAAGAGTTGACTTTCATGGTTCAAAGTGGGCAAAGAGCTGAAATCGAAGCTCTGTACTGTCATGGGTATGATTTCTTGAGGAAGTTCATGGCAAACAAAATTGTACAGGCCAACTACATCTAACATCTCTCCTTACTGCCGATTTTGACGGAACTCTGTTCTAACAAAAAGTGGAAATATGAACCTGGTGCTGGCAGTGGAATAATTGAATCTTTTCAACCCACCAAAGGCAGGAGAGAGAATCTTTTGAGTATTTTTTTTCACACCCTATCACAGAATTGTCGAAAACAAAAAAGAAAATATTTTCAACCCGATCACTGAATTGTACAAAACAAAAAAGAAGAAAAGAGGAATGGTTGAATAAAACTAAAACAACAATGGAAGAATGCCTTTAAAGCACCTTCGTATACAACACTCATTTCGTATGGTAATGAATTAAAGTACTGCTTTATTGTCGACTAATTAGTACAATAGATCAAGCAACAGCAAGATATACGCAGATCTGAATATGAACTGGACTCGGCTGCAATATACAGATCACGCTACACGGCTACAAACATCTCAAAATTCTTGGTAAAATAAAGAATGGCGTTTCAAAATTTCTTCCAACAAAAATTCTTTCAACTCCTCGATGCGAGTCTGACTCTTTTGCCTTCCACAACGAACTTCTTATTGCCTTTCAGCTGCACAAACAACCAACATTGTCATGGCACAAAGAGAGGAAAACTATGACAATGCAAAAAGTAATATGCATGTTCACAGTTAGAATTCAGAACGAGCATTCCTCAACATTTTCACATTGAAAATAAAAACTGCGAGAGGTATTAAATCAAAGACAACTATAAGTTGGAAATCGGAATTATGAAGAAAGTAATGCAACAGATATTCGGACCAGAGACTATTCAACAGTAAAAAGAAAAGAATACCTTTTGTTTTAAATAAGTGAGCGTGTCTGCCTTTGAAGAGAAGTGTGAGAAAACAGCAGTTGAATGTTCATCAATCAAGGCTTTCAGATCTTTCAGCTTTAGTGACTCGCCAGGTACCTAAAATAAGCTGTGAATTAGTGCCGATACAAGTTTGAAACATTCGAAGCTGAAACGTTTGGAGGGACTAACCTGACGAAGAAGCTGCCTACACAACTTTTTCAACTTTACTTTTGGTTCCTTCTTCCTTTCAATTTCAAAAGAGACATCAGGTTTTCCTTTTTCTGAACAATCAGGATCAGTAGAATCTTCATCCTCACTGTCACTAAATGATGTCTTCTTCCCCTGAAAGTAGCAACCGGCGATTTTCTTTGTCCGGTCCTTAATACCTAAGCCTTGCTTTCCAGTTGTGGATTTATCCTAAAAAATGAAAGTAACGCATATCTGTTATTAAACACGTCAGGACCATGCGACCAATAAAAAAGACAACATCTGCACATTCCTTCCATGTTATTTCAATTGCTTATGAAGTAAAAAAATAACTAAAAAGACAGTAAAATCAATTCATTAAGCAGCGTAATTGTTTTCCAATATTTTATTAATCACATGGCATATAAGCTTAAATACATTCTCATATTTAACAATAATTAGTATCACATTTTTTTGCCAACGGAAATGCTTCACTGAGAATGGCAGCACTGGAGTATATGAAACTAATAGAGTGCCACATTTTTGCAACTGAAAAAAGATTCAATAAGGGAATGACACTTTTTTTTCCCTTTTCAAATAAGAATGGTACGTACCTGAACAAGCTTGTATAGATTCTCTTGATCATCCTCATGAAATACAGTTCTCTCCTTACTATTTTGAGCGTTCCCATTTTTGAACTTTCTTCTAGACTCTGCTCCTAGAAAGCCACCAGAGATAAACCCAAACTTAAAGCCCCACCAATCTGGAGAAATATCTTCCTGCATGTTTCCTGTATGATGCGATAAGGTCACTACATGAGCAACGGTTTGACTCACATGAGCTATGAGCATTAAGAACGCATTCAATCGAGAAAGTGAGAAAACATAGGCTTATGAAAGCACTAAATAGCTATACCATATTGCTCCGTGCATATCTACATAACTATGTGCATTATGAACACAATCACTCTCATAAGATGGAAAGTGACATCAACGGGCAACAAAAAACATAAGTTAACCTAGAGCTCCCTGGATTCAATTTATGCAATAGAAACTAATGAACAGAAAGGAAACGACTAATATGTGTAGACTCTACAACATAATCGAGCAACATGAGGACTCTACCCATAATTCAAAATCAATCAACGCTTCAGAGATTATTACCTTCAGGAAAAACATGACTTTCAGATGCCATCTCGGACTCCAACTGGCCATCTAGACTAGGATTTGTTGCAGTAGACTCCTCAACCTTTTTGACCTGTAGTGTGTATTGCCGAAGTCATTAAAGAGACCATAGAACATAAACAAAAACTCAACTTACAAAGTTGTGTCCAAACGCAAAAAGAGTTATATACCATGTTACAAACATAAGAGTCATGCCCGAATCAAATTTCAGAAACATATATAAATATGTGTGTGTGTGTGACTTAAATTTGAATATCTAATGTGAGAGAAATTTAGTTTTTATAACATCCCCATCACAGGTTTAATATAGCTGCATACAACATTAAAAATACGTCAGAATTACCTGAATTCCCATCATAAATAACATCATATACTTTCCGATGCCCCGTCAGCCTTTCAACTGAAGCAGAGGCATTCAGAAAATAGTAGATTGATTCAGCATAAGCCAATATAGAGTGACGGTGAAGCTAATGAAGTTTGAACGTTATACCTTGTACGTTTTTCATTAGTTATAGAAAACACCTTTTTTTTTATATGGTGCTTAACACTGATTTTCTTTTGAAAGAACAAAAGAGAAAAGCAAAGAACACAGTACCTCATGATTACCCCTATAATTCATGCGTTCCTAGTTTGGGGGAAAACAAAGAACAAATTACCTTATGATTACCCCTATAATTCACGCGTCCCTATTTGTCTTAAAGTTGGGATAAAATTGAAAGACAATGAATAACGAGAATCAAAGTCCTAGAAAATAATGAGGAAAAAAAACCCAAAAAGTTTTGATGCAGCAAGAACCATAAATAACACTCTCACTTAAAAAATGCATGCAGGCCAAAAACTATTTTACGAAAAGAAGAGAAACGTTATCCACTATTTGAACTTACAAGGATTCCTTCAAGATCCTTTGATGAGTACGCATGAACAAGCTTCCCTCTCTCCCTTCTCTTATATCTGATTATGAGAAAAATGATAGTCCTTAATAATAAGAAACTAGAAAAATAAAAACAACTAAACAAGTGAACAACTAACTAGCAATTGGAATAACAACGCAACACTGGAATCTATATAGCTTGCACCACACAAACTGACCTTCCCTGTGGTCGAGTAGCCTTAACGACTGCATCTTGAACCTGGGTTGACACTTCTGTTTCATCTTCTACTTCAGCTTTCTTCTCCACATCTATCAGAACAAAGAAATGCAGTTCTTAGAGCATAATAATCAATCACAACAACTTTATAACCAAAATTAAGCTAATCCAACAATGTCATTACCTTTTTCATCAGGCTGCGCCGTTTGCTGCCAATCAAAAACGAATGAAAAGAATGAACCAAAAAGCGTTTTTTGACTGAAACCATACTCGAATTAGTAAGAAACAAATGCGAAAGTTACCACTTTCAATCTTTTGAGAATGCTATCAAATTGCGTAGTGTCGAATGCCCAATTGTTCGGCTTCTCTGTACCAATACCTATTTCACATTTCCCCAAAAAAAAACAGAAAATCAATCCTAAATTGAGCAGAGAACACACACACACACACACACACAAAGAAGTCCTAAAAGCAAAAACTTCGAAGAAAATCAGAAGAAACGAACCGGCAGTATCTTGCTTGTTTTTGACTCGAACATGTCCTTTAATCCCTTGCTTGTCTTTCCCAAGTCCTTCACCTTCTTCCCATCCCTACACAACCGTCATGAAATCATGAAAGTTCTGATTCGGAGAGAGAGAGAGAGAGAGAGAGAGAGAGAGAGAGTACCATTTGTTTCATGAGGCGGAAAGCAGCGGATTGCCTGGCGACGCCAACATAACAGAGAGGAGCTTCGGGAGCCGCCATGTCCGCTTCTTCCTCTCTTCGCCGACGATCCACAACACCGCCGGCTCTCTCTCTCTCTTGTTTTGCTTCTTCCTGAGGTTGAGGAGTAGAGAGAGAAAGTTCGAAGAGCAAGGGTTTTAAGACCTAAATGGAACTAGCGGGGAATGCTACGGTGCTTCGCCGACTATCGCCATCTCCGTGGGGAATCAGTTTGTGAGCGACTTCGATCGAGTGGACTTGCTTCCTCAAGAATCTGGAATCTGGATTTGGTCTTTATATGGGCTCCTCATCTGGATCTGGATCTCGCGGCTAGCGGTGTGGATTATCTTCTGGGCTAATAAGTTCATGGGTCTATTGGGCCTTAATGAGCAGAAACTATATGCCAATATTTTAAACAAAAAATTATCAGAAATAATAAAAAATAAGCCAATATGAAAAGTTTAAAAAAATATATAGGTTAATTTTTAGTTATAAAAATTAATAGGTCATAACTTGTTAAGTTATGGTTCATAACTAAATAAGTTATAGATAAACTTGTCAAGTTATGGTTCATAACCGGACAAATTATGGACAAAAACCATGAATTATTGACAATAACTTGTCAAGTTATGGTTCATAACTAGACAAGTTATGGACGAAAACAGTAATTTAGCCTATTTATTAACTTATGTAAACTATTGGCCTATTAATTTTAATTCATCTCAAATCTTGGTCTATTTCTCTCTTTCTCCCAAAAATTATTTATAGTTGCTAGAAATTATAGTCAATTTCATAAGATTTCCTTCATGTTTTACAAAATTTGTTTTTTACTCATAAGTTGAAGTTCAAGTACAACTAACTTTAAAAAAAAAAAAAAAAAGCTTCAAAATATTATCCTTTTTTCAGGAAAAAAAAAAGATATTTACAACTTAATCACCTAGGATGGTGCCATGACCAACGTATAATTTAACATTCTAAATTCTAATTTATCTTATCTTGTTTACCAAAAATTTATCTTCTTTTTTATTAAAAAAAAAAAAAAACTCATACCCTTTGACTTTTTTTATTGTATAAATTAATTGAAACAAAGATTGATCTCATTTTTAAGATATTGGTAGCAAAAAAGCTTCGTATGTCTTAAAAGGAAAAAAAAAAGGAAAAAAAAAAAATTTGTTGAACTTATTCTTAAGTTGTGGTTCTAAATTTTTACTCATGTATCTTTTTTATTAATATAATTATTTAACTAAAAATTAATGAATCAATATTTGTGGGTCAAACCTCAAAATAGGAAAACTTAAAGAGGTAAAATTAAATACAACAAAAAATAAATAGAAACTTTTCTATTTTATTGAGAATGTAAAATTAAATAATTAAAAAGAAATTTTTTTTTGGTATGCCAACATATCAATATGTCAGTTTTTTGTCTGTCAAATCTGTATAAAAACACATAAAAGATAAAAATATATGCAGATTTAACGGTTATAAAAACTTAGTATACTAGTACCGCCTAACATACTAGAGAATCTTCTAATTAAAAAAAATTAAAATATATATAATTACTACATACTAAAAATAATGAAAGTGTGTATATATTAAAATAAAGAAAAAAAAAATACTCATCTCCTATACTCAAAAGAAACAATTTCTTTTTTTTTCCTTGAAATGATGGTATTTTCTTGGGGAAAATTGTAGCCTTTGCAAAAATATGATTTTGCCAATGCATATTGGTAATGCAAATGGGGACAATATATTTAGAGAAAAATAAAGGGGGGCTTATGTGAAAAGAATTTTAGAGTTTGTTCGTTTGTATTTTTGAGTTATAGTAATTTGAGTGTAGATATTGAGTTGTAATTTTTCTTTGAGAGATTTTCAAATTGTTCGGTTGCATTTTGAGTTATGGTGACTTGAGTGTAAATCTTAAGTTTAATTTGAATTATAATTTGAGTTGAAGTTGTAACTTGAGTTTTTATTTAGTTGTGTACATTTGAGTTTGGTTTGAGATGAGAATCTTTTTGAGTTTGTGTTTAGGTAGGTCAAAACTTAAATTTGTATTTGAATAGTATTTTAATAAAAACTCAATAGTGATGAAAAATTTTAATAGGGTATATGGGTAGGGTTTAATTCATCTGTTCATTGTGAACGCATAGAAAAAAAATCATCTCAATTAAAATTAAAACGAAAAAATTATGACGTTTTTAAAAATAGAAAAAATATTATTCATTAACTTAAATTTGAGTTTATGAATTTAAATTGAAGAAAAAACTTGAACTTATATTTTAATCATAAATTTAAGTTAAAACTTAAATTTAAATTTAAATTTTATAAAATAATATAAATTTAAATAAAATTATAATTCCAGTTCAATTTTTTTTTAAATGAGGTAAAACAACAAGCCCTGAACAATTATTCATCAACCACTGTGTGTGCGTAGGTGACCTTTCCATTATTCTTATTTTTTTTTTCTTCTTAATAATCTCTTTGGTGCGTGTAAGCACTTTGGAATTGCGATTGCAGAGAAAAGCGGAGCATTTGTAATAATGGGGTCTGTGCTCGGTGACTGGCCGTCGTACGACCCCCACAACTTCAGCCAACTCCGACCCTCAGATCCCTCCACTCCGTCTGTCAGTATTCAATCTCTCTTTTTCATCCAATCCATCTTTCTTTCTTTCTTTCTTTCTTTCTTTATTTTTTTATCATAAAATATTTTCTTGTGTCATGTTTTGATCAATTATGTGGAGATGGGTTGTGGAGAAAATTACATTTTGGGCGATAATTCTAAGTCCATTCAAGAAAAGGGCTTCTGGGCATTTCTGCTAATGTGTTGGTGAATCTGTTTTCTTTGATCTTGCTAAGATCCTTCCTTTTTTTTTTGTTTTTGTTATAATTCTGCTTAATTGGGCACTTGGAGCATTTGCATAGTTGCATTGTGAAGCATATGGTAGAAGTAAGTTTTCTTGAATATTCCGACCGTAAGACATTACTTAGTTTAGTGATAAAGAACAAAGTATAAGGTCTCTCAATGAAAGCAAAAAAGGGTCTTGTATACTTTTATTTGCTTTTCCCAAGCAAACCTTTTTCCTGTTAGATGTTTGGTTTTTTAGTACATTCTGATCTTTATTGTTGTTTGTTACGAACACTTTCTTGGTGTATTAATTGTTTATGTTCCATTTCTGCACAAAGTATAGTTATCCTCTTTGCCATAATCTTTTGGCCCTTAATGAATCACTAACGAAAGGAGAGCTTATGGATTGGTTTACACTATGAGCTTGTGAAAGATGTTGAGAGCTGCCGCAGCGTCGCAGCTAAATATGTTTTTGAACTTATTGTAAGATGCTTCATTTTAGAATTTCAAGTTAAGATCTTTATGTGATTAAAAATGGGAGATTGTTAATTTTTCAGTTCAAACATAACATTGGAAACCATAGCAAAAACCCTTTAAAAGGTAAAAGGTAGGGTGTTCTTGGCTATTCCTCTGCTACCCAGCGTCAGTTGTTGATTTTGTTTTTCCCCCTCAATAAGAAAGATGAAAGGGGTAGCAAAGACTTTTTCAGAGTACCAACTCCTATAAAACGCTTTATATGTTTTTACAAAGTTTATATGTTCAGATTCCACCACTTCGTGAAACTAAAAATTATTCGTTATTCAAAAGTTCATATCTTCATCTCCGTTCATTAGCATGTCATTGTTTATTATGCAGAAGCGTGCATTTGTTTTAAGGAGTTGCTTAATGAATATTCTAGAAAAATATACTCTTCAGGATAAAATGCATTCTCGATGTTTTTATCAGATTATCATTTAGTTGTTAGTTGCAACAATATGACATAATAAAATGTGTTACCTTCCTTCTTAAGATTTTTTTTTTCTTTTTCTTTTTTTGTGTGTGTAGAAGATGACGCCGACAACCTATCAGCCCACTCATAACAGGACCCTTCCACCACCTGATCAAGGTAAGTAATAGATTTCACCTCTTATTAGTTCTGTAGCTGGTGCTCTCTTTCTCATGAGAGATGAAAGCCAACAGGATTTGTCAGAATCCGGATATAATCGTGATCTTTGGAAAATTTTATGTCCAAACATGATAATGTAGATACTGATTTGACAATCTGTTGCAGTGATAACTACTGAAACAAAAAATATCCTTCTAAGGCACATCTATCAGCGTGCTGAAGAGAAGGTAAGTGACTCGTTTTTTACATTGCATATACTTCGTATACGGCTTAGTTACTGTTTAGCCACAAAACATTGACAGAATCAGATACGCAAAAAAAGAAACCGAGAAATTCCAAGCTTTTAACAGCCTTTCTTTCTCGTTGCAGTTGAGACCAAAGAGGGCTGCGCCGGAACATCTTTTACCCGAGCATGGATGCAAGCAACTAAGGGCATCTGTCCAAGACACTCCCTGTTGAGCCTGCTGCCTAATTGCCATCAGTGTAAATGTGCCTACCACTATGCCTAGAATTCGCGTGGTTGTTGTAGAAATGAAGAATAGTCTGCTCAATGCCCATTGTTGTGGAAATGCTCAGCCTGTTTGTGGAATATGTGTGAATAAATCTATCTACGGTTAATTTGGAATGAAATGACAAAATCTATCTTCCTATTTCTAACATGAGTAAGTTGTGCATGCTAAAAACAAGAACACGCCTAACATAAGGTGCAAGGTCAGAAATGCTGCTTTACAAGAAATCTATTGAGGCTCAGAGTTTCATCTTAAATGGCCGATTTTGTTAAGAGAGGTAACCCAAGTCCTTATAAATACAATACGCCAACCATGTCTAGCAAACGTAGGATTCGTTTGCCCGCTCCCAACAGATTGATTTAGAAACTCTGTGCAACACAGAAGTTGGGGCAGGCAGGGCGAAGAAATCTAGTTCTAAATTGCTGTTTTTAAGGTTTTGCAAGAAATCTAGTTCTAAGTCTATGGTTGGTGAAATTTGCAACAAAAAAGTGAGTGTTGACAGGACAGGCGCTCTCTGTCTCGAGGGGGGCCAATGGTTGGCAGGATTGTTGGGGCTAAAAAACGTGATTGTTTGTTTATCAACACAAACACAAACATGAATGTGATCAACGGTTTCATTGATGCTTGTTTTTCTCTTTTTTCTTATTCTTCACGCTAAAACCGAAAGGTTTGTTTAGTTCATGCATGAGACAACTCAAAATGATAGCTGAGATTATTCAAAAAAAAACATGGTAGGTCGGATGAATACATCCATTTTTTTTTTTTTGCGGTGGTCAAATATGTCCGTCAAGCTTTTCCAATCTAGAGAGGACTGATTCGCGAAGGAACGCAACCACCTCATATCATATGTCAAACTTTTACAACCACACCAAAATTTTTAATTCCATATTTTCCATGCGAGCAGCATGCTTTCTTTGAAAGCAATATATAAGTGATTATTTTATGGGATGACAAATTGTTAAAAGTAGGATCTTGATACTATACAAGTATTATGCCAGTTTAGCTCTTTGAAATTTTTGTGGCTAATTAATCCCTCTATTCTTTTTATTTGACAAATTAACATTGAATTTGAAATTTGGTAGAAAGCGATGTCTTGTAGAAACAGTTAGAAGCAAAATATGATCCTTTAATGTCCTTAAAAAACTCTTGAAAATTAAAACAATTTGCAAAGCTTTAAATAAAAATTCAAGCTATTACAAAATATAAGACTACTATCATTAGAATTAGGTACCAAAAAAAGATTTTAAATTCAGATACCAACCAGTCAAAAGAAAGCTTAAGGTCAAGAGGTTTTAAAAATTGGTGTTAGTGCTGTTTTAATTATTAGGTAATTTGTCCCTGAATTGTATGTATTTTGTCATTTTGGTCCCTTAATTTTTAATTTTAATTATTCACTATCTAAAATTTTAATTTTTGACCATTTTGATTCCTGCACATGAAAATTGGCAAATGAATTTTGAAAACTTTCAGAGATAATCAAGCCCCACATGCAATGTATCCAGAATTTTTATAGAAATAGTTACATTAAATGTAAAATGTTTTAAATTTTAATGGTTTGTAATACCAATGAAGAGAATATTTAGCATTTAATGCAATTATACTTGTAAATATGTCAGTTATTATGCATCTGAAACGTGGTGATCTCTGTGAAATTTCTTAAGTCTACCATCAATTTTGATGTACAAGGACCAAAGCATTCAAAAATTAAAAGATTAAGAAGTAATTTGTTAAAATTAGAAGTTTAGGAACTAAAGTGACAGAATATACATAATTCAGGACCAACAGTGCTAATAATAACAAGTGGGTAGCTGAACAAGTGCCAAATGGGTAGCTGAACAGAGTCCAAAACTGAAGAAACAGAAACCACAAACACCAGAAGTGAAAGAAAAGCGCTTTTTTTGAGCCTTCGAGTTTGAGAGTTGAGCTTCAATTCAAGCTTGGCCATGGCGGCATCAACATCTTCTCTCTATGCCTCTTCCCTCCTTCCGAAATCCTCCGCCAAATACCCTTCTCTCTCCTCCTTCCCTCGCTCCTCTCTCTTCACACCCCCGAACTCCACCAATCTCTTTTCCTCATCTCCTCTCTCTCTCCGATTATCATCAACAACAACTCCGCCGCCGTCGGCCGTGCCTTCAGCATCCGCTGCCGCCGCCTTGGAGGCCCAGCCATCGCCGGCCTCCGCCACTCCCTTAAAGTCCCTGCCTTTTCGGGTCGGACACGGGTTTGACCTCCACCGGTTGGAGCCTGGCTACCCTTTGATCATCGGAGGGATCAATATTCCTCACGAAAGAGGCTGCGAGGCTCATTCCGATGGTGAATTTCAATAGTTTCAGTTTCAATTTCAGTTCATTTGCTCGCTTGCCGGGGAAAGAAAAGATTTTTAAGTTTTGAATTTTTGAATTTTTGAATTTGGGGTTTTTTTTTTTCAGGGGATGTTTTGCTTCATTGCGTGGTCGATGCGATTTTGGGGGCTTTAGGGCTTCCAGATATCGGGCAGATTTTCCCGGATTCTGATCCCAAGTGGAAGGGTGCCCCATCTTCTGTTTTTATCAAAGAAGCTGTAAGTTATTATTATCATTTTTTTTTTTCAAGAAAAGTTGATAAATATGACATGATAATGATTACTACTAATCACTCTGCTAATTGGAAATTCCTGTTTAGGCTCTTGTGTATGTAGATATGATAGTTGATAGTTCATATGTGATTCTTTGATTGGTCAAAAACCGAGTAGTAATAATTATGACCTGTTTTGTTAATACAGAGATTGCGCTTACAGAAGTTTTGTTTGATTTGTTTGTGAATATGTATATTTCCCTTTGAATAAGTTGTGCTTGGTTGGTGAAGCATATCACTATCCCATAGAGATTTTTGCTTGAATTAGATGGACTCGGATCCCTTCCAATTTTGGTTCCAAATGATGTCTCACCAACCACATTATGCCATCTTATTTAAAAATTTCGAATTCTTTTTAACTAACTTTTACATGCTTCTCCGTTCAAGTCTGTTAAGTGACGTGGCATAATGCAGTTGGTTGGTTGGACACCATTTACGACACTAAAAATTGAACATGGGCTCTGAATCTGTTGTTGGGTTTTCTCTTCGATGCCTGCAATCAGCAGATTTAGAACCCTAAACCAGAAATACAATCACCTTGTTAAATACAATGAGGATTTATTTTAGAATGATATGAGGCCGGGACGCTTATTCCTGAATATAGCAAATAGGAATTGATCCGAAGACAAACACATTTTTCCTAACTGGTTGGTGTTGAAGTGGTTTTGGCTTACTATTGCCTGCTACTTTAACCTTTTTGAGCAGCTTTCAAATTCCATGAGCATACTTTTATATACCAGGCCTCACCTTTTAGATAAAGAAAATAAGAATAAATAAAAGTTAGACACTAACTTTACCGTGTTTGGCATTTTTAGCGTGAAAAACTCATTGTTGATGCAGATACAATGTTATTTTCATTCTTCTGTAATTTACCATCTTTGAACTCTTGTTATATGTCGCTTCAAAAGTTCGAAAAGCAACAGCCAACAGTAGCTCTTTGTGACCTGTTCTTTACTGAGAACATGGGTAGATAAAGAAAGAAAACGCTTCTTGAATACAAGCTAAAGATTACTCTTTGTACCTATGACCATTTCAGGTGAGACTCATGCATGAGGCAGGTTATGAGATAGGAAACTTGGATGCCACATTAATTCTTCAAAGGCCAAAACTGAGTCCACACAAGGAGGCCATTAGAGCCAACTTATCCGAGCTGCTCGGAGCGGACCCCGCCGTTGTTAATCTAAAAGCGAAAACTCATGAGAAGGTTGATAGCCTTGGAGAAAATCGAAGTATTGCTGCTCATACTGTGGTGCTTCTTATGAGGAAATAGAAACAAGCTTTCCAAAGTCCGGGTCAAACCACGTGGTGGATGTAGTTTTAATACTTGTATACAATCCTCATAGCAACTACGGCATTTGTAAAAACAGCTCCTTGATCTGTACGCCGCTAAGTATTTATTCAGTCAAGCATAATTGGATAAACTTGAGTGTGTTAAGCGTCAAATTGTTTACCAATAAGAAGCGACATAGCAGGTTTTTAATTGCCAAATTTTGTCCATTTAACGATATAAAGCTGTTTGATTTCAACAGCTGTTTGATTTCAACATTTGACAGATGAATTTTCTCATGATGGCTAAGTTGATTTTTATCTTAGCATATGCAGTATAATTTGAATTCAAATGTCATTTCCCGGCCAGTTGAGCACGTTTCTCATATTTTTAATTTATCTACAAGTCTCTCGACATTCTTGTAATTCTGTCTAATGAGAACATCAACAATCTGTTCTTCTCGAGGAAGATGGTTCTTAGTGGTGGTGAATAAAAAAAGTGAATCTTGGGGAATTTCCTCTCCTTTTATTCAACCATTTTGATTTTGTGTCATTTTCTTAGAAGTAGTTTTGTAACGTGTTCCGCACGTATTACCGTGTTAAAAATACTTGAAGAGTTTATTATTTATCGAATAATGAAGATTCATTTATACAACCATTTAAGAATTTCTGAATTTATTTAAAAAATATATGTTTAAAGATAACAGACAAAAAAAAATAAGTATGGACACATTCGAAGAAAATTAATTTAACCATTGATAAAAAAAATAAAGTAGGAACACATGCGATAAAAAATTACTTTTATAGGAGTAAGATGAGAAAAAATATATTTTTAAAACACAACACAAAAAATTAAAATGTATTAAAACATTCACAAAAAATAAAAAATAAAGATAAAATAAGTAAAAAAGTGAGAAAAAAACGTAAGTAGAAGAGTTCTCACGTGATAATCCCATAAAAAAGAACTTTATCTCTTTTATGTTTATTAGATTAGATTATATTAGATAAATAAAGATAAAAAGTCAAGTTAGTGAAAAAACAAAAAAAAAATAAAAAGAGTAAAAGCCGCCACGTGACGGCTTACAAAAATACTATTACAAGAGTCTTTTAACTTTATCTTTGAAATTGATATACAATCGCAGAAAATTAAGACAAAAATCTTATATTATTTAGAAGTTGACGTACTTCTTTATGTCCCATAGTGAGGGGGCATTACTCGACATTCCAATTAAAACGAGATGTTTCCATTTTCTTTGTGTTTGTGTTTTTAAAGGAAAAAAAAAAACCGCGTTTTCTCATTTCGTGAGGCTTCAGAATAGCTTAGGTGGATGGGTCGGCGTTGAAAAGAACAAATAAGCAACAAACATTAGTTCTGTTTTGAACTGTTGGAGTTTGAATTAGGTTTGAATCCACGTGGGTGTTATTCTCGTTCAAACTCAAGAAATAAAGGGCTTCTTCTTTTAAAGTTTAATTTGAGTATAATTTTTGAGTTGAATTTGAGTTGAACTTGTAATTTGAGTTTGTATTTAGTTGTGTACATTTAAGTTATGGTTTGAGATAAGAATCTTTTTGAGTTTGTGTTTGAGTGAGTCAAAACTTGAATTTGTATTTAGATAATATTTTAATAAAAACTCAATGCTGATGAAAAATTTTAATAGGGTATATGGGTCAGGTTTTATTCGTCTTTTCGTTGTTAACGCATAGAAAAAAAATCATTTCAATCAGAATTAAAACGAAAAAGTTATAGTATTTTTAATAATAGAAAAAATATTGTTCATTAATTTGAGTTCGAGTTTCTAAACTCGAGTTGAAGGGAAAACTTGAACTCGAGTTTTAGTCATAAACTCGAGTTTAAACTTAAAAGAACATGAACTCGAATAAAGTTGTAACTCGAGTTGCATTTTTTTGAGTTTTTCACTCAAAAGAACAAGCCCAAAGTTTGAACTTTTGTTTAGTTATTATAAAAATTAAAAATTTAAAAAATATAACAATAATTTTAAACTAGAGATATTATAGCAAATGGGTTCAAACTCACTTAAGGGCGGTTAAATTATATTTAGGAGGGTTGTAAATTCACAACTCATGTTCATAATAAATCTAACACCGATTCAAATTTATTAACGAGTTCAAAACCCGATGACCTCACGAAGCAAATGAGCCTTAAGGGCCTGTTTAGTAAATGTATTTAAATTGATGATTCTGATTATGTTAAAGTGTTTTTCTCTAATAACAAATTTAAATTCAAAAATTTCTCATTAATAGTTCTCACAAAATTTCCGTGAATAAATTAAAATTATTTACTTAAACGCGTGAACTAAACAGACACTAAGAGTCATTTTGTAAGGTATATTTAAATCATGATTTTTAATTTTAACATTTAAATTTTAAATTTTTTATGAGAAAAAAATATTATAAAAAAATTAATAATTTAAATTTGAGTAGATGAAAAAAATGATCCCTAAGTGTTTTAAAAAGGCTCCCGTCTCTATTTCCTTTTTAATATTTTGTTATAAGCAAGATTCGTGCTACTAGAAGTTTCAATTTTCAGACACCCAATTAAGAATAATAATCCAACTAGCGACTTTGACAAAAAAAAATATGAATCTCCTTACCGTGGAAAGTGGCCAGACAACATAAAAAAAGCCGGTCCAATCACACATCTTGAAGGGGCTTGAACAATTCTATCTCACCAAGAAAATCTTGGTTCCTGACCCCCCAGCTGAGCCACCCATGCGGTTGACAAAATCTCCCAAATAGAATTCTAATTGGATGGTTTTTTTTTTTTTTTTTTTTTTTTTTTTTTTTTTTTGAAATTTTTAATTGGGGGGTTGCCTTTTTTTTTTCCCTTTTTTTTTTTTTTTTTTTTTTTTTTGCTGAGAATTCTAATTGGATGGTTGCTCATATTATTCTCCCCTCAAAAAGTCAATTCCATGCATATATTACTCCAGCAAATTAACTAAACTTGCACTTTAAAAAAATAGAATTAGTGGGAAAGTTCCACCTAATTCAGTTGGTAAAATCACTTCATTTTTAATATAAAATATATGTAACTCAATAACCGAAATATATATAGATTAAAAAAAAAAAAAAAAGGAGTTTAGGAGACGGATTCGTGACATCATGTTGAAACATCTTCAATGCATTTATGCATGTGCTAAAAGCCGTGCAGAATTTGAGATTCACCATTCAAGGAAAATTTTGTTCTCTCCTAAACACTATACTCATTACATTTTAGCATGTTTTGAATACTTCAATTTTCAACACCTACATTTTAGCATATGCTAATATGATGATACATTTTAGCATATGTTGAATATTAAAATATCTGTGACTGCATAATTACAGTATTACCAGCAATCATTAAATTAATTATATCATTTAGATCTTTTTTTTTATTCATATGCTATAACTCTACATTTTCCTCGTGCGTCATTATTCTTCGCAATCTTTAGACATGTTTTTTGCTCTGTTGACAAAACAAATTACAATCATATAATTTGTTCCATGTCTTCTTGTTTTTTTTTTTTTTTTATAAAAAAAAATTTATGAATTGAACAAATCACTATCTAATTCAAATAATAATTAATTGTTAGTAATTTGATAGTAAAGTACTAGTATATCAATCTTGAGAGTTTATAGGCTAATAATATATTCTATTGAGTGAAAGCGATATTAACAAAAATATGTTGGAGCATAATATTATCTATTTAGCATGTTTTAAAAATATGTAATACATACTTTCTAAGCATATGATAAACATAAATTAGCATTGAAGTGTTGAAGGTGACCTTTGATTAAACGAACTTGGACCTTGTCCCTCACATATCAAAAGCTTACTACAGGGGGGGGGGGGGGGAAACATCATAAAGGTGAAAAGAAATAATCTTATGATTAATGACAAAAACACATTAATTAATTTCTCTGAGTTTTCTTTAGTACTACTCGTAAATGATGAAGACGCAGACATTCCAAAGATGAAAAAGATTGAAGTCAATGGCTGTTTTCCTGACGCCGAACTACTTTGAAGTTCCTTAAATCTTTGCTTACCAATTCCTCAGGTGCATTTAAAACATGGTGCGAAACAGTTGGTAGTTTTGAATTCCTTCTTTTTTTTTTTTTTTTTTTTTTTTGTTTTTTTTTTTTTTTTTTTTTCATAGTTCTGATTCCTAATCTAAAATTGATCATGAAGTATTTTCTAAAAAATTTAATATCAGTAATCATGTTTCTATCACGCTATAACTTTAAATTCTACAGATTTAAATATGCTATTCGCTACTGATGTGTATTACCCACTTGATAATTAGAACATTTGCTCTTACTGTAATTTATTCTGTAAAATTTTCAGTTATTACGTAATAAAAATGCGCTTATCAATGTGAAGTTCCAGAAATTCTTCACAGTACTGTCAAGTATTACGAACTGTCAAAAAAAAATAATAATAAAAGCTCAAAGCTCAGAGAATAATATATCAAAATTAAAGTTTTAGGAACTAATAAAGAGACGTTTATGGACTAATAATACTAGCAATTAAAAAACAGACACTAAAGGGCGCGTTTAGAACTCATTTTAAAATAATTATATTTTTTATATGAAAATAGAAATGAAAATATTTTCAATCTCAGACATAAATCATTTTTAACAATGCATTTGGTAGTTTCATCAAGAGATTATTTTCAGTATAAAATTCCATTAACGAAAATAAAAAATTCATTTCTCTCACATTTTACATTAAATTAAAAAATTATTTTTATTTCTATTTTTATCTTTAATTGTGCAAAATGTTATTTTAAAATTATTTTTATTTTTTTCCTCAAAAAACATAAAAAATTAAACAAGAACAACATTTGAGTTGGGTTTCATTCTTATCTTTTCCGAGAGGCGCCCATCATAAAGCCGTTCCTGGTTTCTTTTCCTTTTTTAAGTTTTGTATATATCTTCGTAGGATGTTACTCATTTTATGTTTTATTCACACCAATAAATTATAAAGTAATGAAGATTTTGGTCAGATCATGATTTCACGGTTAGGCCAGATGACCTTCCTTTTCAGTCCATATCTGATGCATGCACATTCAGAAGAATTATGAATATCCCACGTTGGTTTTCATGTACATAAGTTGTTGTATTTAATTAAAACACTACTATATAAACAAAATAACTCTTAAAAGTTACTTAGATTAATATTTTAATGAAAATTTTGTGGTAGGGAATATGAACCGACAACA